ATATATATATTTATACATGCATGCATACATACTTACATACTTAAATGCATACATACATACATACATCAAATATATATATAAATATATATATATACATATATATCGCTGCTCTGAGTCATAGCCCACAAGTATATATTAGACTTTCAGATATATTCGCGCATATACTAAGGGTGGCACATCCGCAAGCACAAGCACTTGTTGAAAGACTTATACACACTTATCGGGAGACTTTGTTCTGGCCTGCATTAATTTTCATTTATATATATTATAAGTGGATATCGCGATTAAGGCATTGCATCCGCGCGCATTGTGGGATAGGATAGTCCATCCTATCGCAATATTAGTTCCCCACGCACGTGCAATGATGATTCCCGCCTATGCACTATTGGGTGCTGTTCTACTATACCTCTCATATGTGAGCGTGTCCTGAAGCCTCATAAAATGGCCATTTTGCTCTGTCCACTTTTGTCGTGAAAAATATATCGCAACTCTTTTGCTGCCCGAATCCGTGTTTCTGTGTGTCGGATGACCAATACCCATCCTGCTGCCTGCGAGCAGTCACCAACTACAATACCAATGCCAACCCTGACTACAAATCCAGGTACGTCTACTATTTTGATTCTATCCCCTGCGACTATGGGGTTATATGTAAAGTTTCTTTATATTCTGTTGACATCAAGACTGCACCAATCACTACGTACGCCAGCTGATGTCATTGATGTCATTTCATATTGTCGCTGCTAGCTCTCTCCCGCGCGCATAACGGGTGTCGATATACTATCATAGGACTCTCCAAACACCATCATACGACTCTCCAAACACCGCGCCACGTAGCAGGTCAGTCAGATATTTATGTCACACTGAGATCATAAACCGGATTGAGCGATCGTCACTGAAAAATAACATAAACCCCAGTCTAAACTATCCCCCACGTCACACAGTCAACATTATCAGATGTTTGCTATGCAAGCCCGGTATTTCAACTGTTCATTGATCGAAATCTTGGTACGTTGTAGTCGGGAGACCGGCTTCGTGCACTGTAAGTGCTAGTTGGTAGTTGATGTACCTTTGCTGTATCTCACCCAAATTCGCCACTTGAGGTAGGGGAGTGGTCAGACGCTGCTGTACAAATATGCATCCACATGCTCAGGGCTTCACACATAAGATGGCCTATCGCACGCATCGCTATTAATAAGATATATGGTATGCCTGTGACAATTGCTGCTGTATTCTTGTAAATACTTATGTCACACTCATTGCGAATATAACTTGACAGAGTCCCCATTAATGTCGTTCACGCACCCGCGCTCACAATAGGTAAGCGAAGGTCAGCAGATACAATGGTAGTACACACACGCATTCTAATATGAACACCGCGCGCCCCAGTGTATGCACACGCATGTACCGATATAAACTCGCTCATTCCGGTATCTCCGTAAGAGTCCGGTACTTAGGGTTTAGCACGTGTACCGGTTTGAGAATACGAGTGCCGATATTCCTACGACTACTCTCCCACTTTGCGCATATCGTGCGTGCTGATTCACACAGGTCTGTCTCGGCATCGCAAGTGTATCCCGCTATTAGCTAGGTCGTCCCGATATATACACATACGTATTTTTTTATACCCGTACGATTTTTCCAGACAACTTTTGTCCAGCTTTACGTCCGCCTGTCTCGATCGTTTTGAGATCGAGGTGTACTTACACCGAGGTCGGCATTGATTCTCCCCTCCTGTAAGATTGGGTCTTCTGAGAGTATAGTGGTGTTTTGTTCCATTAAACTGAAGAGTGCAGTATATACATGGAAGTGTATACATGAGGTACAACGACAAGAGACAAGTCCATGAATTCAAATAGATATATACAGGCATACCCCTATAACCTAACGCTAGAAAAGTACCTACCTGCATGTGTTTGTATTCAGCCGGAACACCCCTCTCGTGGTAGAACAGAATATACCCGGATTCACTCGATTGCTGCACACCTTCGCCCGAAAGTCCGAAGAAGCTCTGCAATTTACTCTCTTCTATAACCTGGTCGGTTTGACGGATATGAATAGATTAGTAACGGGGTGAATACACGGTGGTGAAACGAATGAGCGAACCAAAAAATCTGGTTGTGCGAAGTGTATGCCGTGTACAGACCAACCTTCCCAGTGCTTATAGTATAATTGAAAACAAACATAAGCTGTAGCATATTCCGTTGAAAGCAGCGTTGTATAGAAAACGTTTCTGGTCATAGGTAGGGAGATTTGGCTATATACACGCCATATACACACAATATACACGAAACACCAAATCTATGCATGTATATAGTCGTGGCTATCTCTTTCCATAATGAGATTGACTAGCAACAGGTATCACGATATGCCGACAACAACTCTTATTGAAAGAGATTGTAGGTTTTGTAACATATCCAATTTGAAACAAGCACTTCCTGCTCCACATGCACACCTTACAAGAACAGACTCTATCATGTATTTATTCGAGTCCAAGCATGCGGACATACCTCTATCTTCTCGTCGTCGAATATCAGCCAATTATCATGACTCTTTATGACGCTTATGTAGTGGCCCTGATTGGGTCCGCTCCCCACGTGTATGACTACGGCAAACAGATCATACATCTGGTCTGGCGACTCGGCGTCGTCGGACTGTGGTGTGTAGTGGTAGGCATAAGCTCATGAAAAATATGGCACGTTCATTATTCTGTGCTATGAATTGGTAGTGGTTCGATCGGACTGTCCTGAATATTTGACATGTCCAGACGTTAGAGGAAAGTGAGCGTAGCATTTCTAGTATAGTGTACTGCCCATGTGTCCATTTTCCGCATATAGTTTGTACTTCTGGCCTGGAAATTCGGCCTCACCGGAGTGTGATGCGAAGGACGTTATGCGTATTTCTTAAACAAATGAAAGTGAAGGAAGAGGAGTTCTTTGAATTACAATGTTGTGATGGTCACAATTGTTCCGGGCAATCATATGTAAGGTGTATTTATGTCGAAGGTATTTTTGTGCCTAAGGTGTACTGGAGGATTCCTATCTACGAAAGATATGTCACTGAATCTGTGGCTTCTAAGCGAAGAGACACTGCCTACATCCACGTGCACAACCACCGCAAATAGATCAACAGACAATCTAGCGATACAGCGTCATCAGACTGTGAAAGGGACTGACATTAGGTTTTATCGGGAAGAAATGTGAAAATATGATCTTAGTGATCAAGTTGTGAAGATCAGGATTTGATAATGGTCTGGCGAATAGATTTACATCACACAGCTGATTCAAACTGAAATGCCAGATACGGTCAGAACTACAAGGTTGAGCTTAACACGCTGCTCATAGCTTAGTTTACCTACCATATTGAACAACTTGAGCTCGAGCGGAAAGACCACCCGATAGGACAATTTCTTGTAGCGCCCTTCCTGTTCAAAATACTGTTGCCATTGGTATTCGGGATGAGAATGTTTGTAGGGATTAAAGATCAATAATGGCTTGTAAAAATGTTCAGCTAGGAAGTATAGATGGACTATGCATTAAAGAAAGAAGGGTAATTTGTATATCTCAATGTTGAGACGGCGTTTCCATCCGAGATATAGAGAGCATAGATCAGTTGTCCGACAACAAACTTCTTGTAGGCAATTTTCGTGTAGCAACAACAACTGGTCCATTTCCAATGCTACCATACATCATGATCTAATCTTTCCAAGAAAAAGGTGGTAGTTTTCAGAGGGTCCTCATCTGATACAGTTTCGACGCGCTGTATTTTCGAATGCCCTCACAACAATCATACGATTTGTCCTATAGTGAGCTATATAAACAGGCACAGAATGGGCGACAGACTGTGTAGAGATAAGTGTACACGCGTTCGGGAAAAATATACGCCACCGCGCACCAACCTTGAATCGCTTGAGGTGCAATGCCAATATTTGTGGCGACTTCTTAATTCGCATCCTGTGGCGGTCGAGTTAGGATATAATAATATCGTATGAGTCATTTAGTGATACATTCTATAATACAAAGCCGCCTGATTGTGGTTTGTATAATTGGGTATGGTACTGATGCCAGCATAGCATCCATCGCAAAAGTTGTGGGTGTACAGACACAAAAATACAGGCGCGCACACACCACAGACCCACCCACCTCTTCTCAGCTTCTTGCAGACTACAACAGCATTCGCAGTAGTACTTGTGCTCGGCCCTTAAGTACTCGAGTGTCGAGAAATTGCGCAAGCACCGTGTGATGCTACTGTTCTGTTCGATATCTACACTTAGGTCCAGGAAGCACTCGTCCTTACTGGAGACCGTTTCGCACTCTAAACACCTCGTCTCATTGGTGAGTACACCTGATAGCCAATAGAACTCACGTTGATGAATCTGACTATAGAATGCGGTCCCGCTTGCTAGCGAAGAACATTTTACCGGTATTGTACTAAGCGCACTGGGAACTGTTTCGCGCTCTCTACACCTTTAAATGCTCAGCAACAATTTAAAAGCCCTTGGAATTCATCCGACAATATAGGTTGCCGTTTGACTTGCACGTGGACTTGGGTGTGGGTTTAATAAGGGGTTGTTATAGGGGCGGCTATGACGGTTGTATATGAACGGTTATATAGGGGAGAATTTATATCACCCAATCTGAGGTACACTACACGTACAGTTGGAGTGAGGTTTTTAGTACGGGTTGCGAGGGTTTAAAATCAGCCGTTTTTATATGTATAATGCAAATTGAGTGAGGTTTCCATGGACGACAGTTTGGGTAGAGGGCCCCTTTGAGTGTGTCCAGGTTCGAGCCCTGGAATTTGAATCAAGTGGTTTCTAGAATTCTACTAGCAGTGCTTTCTCCAGTTCCTTCCCATATCGATACAAACATACAAAAAGTAGATATAAGCCAATAAACACGTACCCCGCGGAAGAAGAAAAAAAATTCGTCAGATGTGACGGGGAAATCTGCCGCACAAGAAATGAGTCGACCTAATCCCCCGTGTGGCAGAGCACAATACCGCACACGCACATGAGCCACTCAATAGACTTCGAAGGCACTAGTGAAAGATTCCAAAAACAAAATCTTATTTACCCATCAGCTACGCTAGCTAGCCCACTCTGCCGTCCTAACGTTCTTGCAATAGAGAGTGAAGTCATCATAGTTTATGTAAAAGATCCGGCCAAGATCACGCCTAGAGACCGAAATGATTTCGAATGTGTATTGTGTATTTGTATGCCTTGAGAATATCATACTACGACGTACGCCCTGCGTTCACTAGCGTGAATCATAGCTAAACCCTAACTAAACTCCAAACCTTAAACATACCTTCGAATATGTCTTGTATCCATGTCTTGTCATTTGAACAGCTCTCCCCTGTTTGTGGAGCGCAGCCACCCAGAGTCGAACCCTTGATATTTTCATTACCAACCACGGCGCCTTGAACACCTGTACCCACATCTGGGAAGCTACAGAATTGGGACGGATATTAAGTACAATGACGTATGTGAGACCAACATAAATATATCTAGATATAGATATCTAAATTCATACCAAAATAAGCCACTCTCGCCGGTACCCAGACCTAAGATGCTATCGAAATATGTAGGTAATCGAATATAACGTAGTGCGACTTAAATGAATTGATCAGGTCGATACAGATATGTAGGTACATATAGAACAGATGTACAGAAATATTTAGAACTAGGCCACCCTGAACATAATAGGGAATAGGCGTATACACACACACACACACACACACACATACATACATATATATATATATTGTGATCGGCCTAGGTAGGGTCTAGACTAGCCTAGGGACCCTAGGGTATATATATATAT